GATAACCTACCCTCGATCCTTGGATGTAGAGGTCTTTATCCTTGTATCCAGCAACACTACCATCTGTCACAACAGATCCAAGGTCTACAAAGTTCCCATCAAACTGTACTACCTGAAATTTATTGTTTACAATGAGATTTGGAACTATCTAACGATCTCAGCGTTTTTTTAGAATCTTTATATTCATTTACGAGAAATTTTTATCGTACAATAAATTGCAAAATACTTACAGAGAGAAAGTAAAAATTGGAATTGCTCATACTAACCTTTTCATATTCTCCAGTCTTTGGGTTTTGTACATTATGAAATTTTAGAAATCTCATTCCATGATGACTCATTTGAAGTGAAACTATGATCATTATATTTATCTGAAATTATTTTTTATTGACAAAAATTTTTCAAATGGAAAAAAAAGTTCTCAAAAGAGCTTACAATCAACAATAAAAGCGCTAAAATAGCTAGAATTGCTAAGCATCCAATCAATGCATATAGTTTCTTCTCTCTTAAACCAGTTACATTTATCGTATTAGTATCTTCTCGACTATCGCTCGCAGACGGAAATGAGGCCTCCGAGCCGGAACGCATATAGGCCGGCGGAGGCATTTCTGGAAATTTGGAAGCATATAATGAGATTCAGTAGTTAGAATTCATATATGAGGTGCAAAGGTGATGGTGAGGGATGGATTGGGATTTTTTTCCGAGGTTTTCAAATTTTCTTTTGTGAAGGTGCTATAGCTTGACATCGTGGGGGTGTTTGACATCTGAGTTATGGCCTAAATATGCAGATAATCACTACCCTTAGAAAAAAATCTTGACGAGCAAGTAAGTGACTACTTTGCCACAAAAATCGAAGACAAATAAAAATGGAAATTGCTTTTTTAGTTAGAATTTTGAAACAAAGCAAAATGATGGAATAACGGCAAACTTCGGGATTTTCATTTTGATTGAGTAGATGTTCTGAAATGCTAAGCCAAATGCTTTATGTCAGTATATATTTCTAGAAAGATGAGGGCTCAAAAGTTGGATAAAATCCAGAAAAGTGAGCTGAGAAGATCAATAATCACACAATT